CGCGGGCGCCATCCACTAACTCGCTCAGCCCCAGCCAGCCAAATCCCAGTTAGACAGCCTGGTCACGGCCCTGCAGAGAGAGGGGCTAACATCTGGCCGGCCCCCTGACTTGCAGGGCCGGCTGGCCATTTGTCCACCTCGCTGATGGGGAGTTGGTTTTTCCATGCGATAACCTCGCTGTGCAGTGAGCCCGAAACCCCCTACCCCGACCCTAGCCTTCACACCCCAGGTCCCTAGTGGGGCGGGCCTTAGTCTGGTCTTAGGGCTGTTGGTGTTGGTCCAGGACCTGGGAGAGGGGAGAGAGGAAAAAGCGGATGGATATGGGAACTGGAAAAGTGACTGTTTCTTATTGCCGCTGGTCCCACCCATGAGTCCACCCCCAGCCTCTAGACCTCCCTTTGGCTTGGACACCCATGTATGTTAAGGGAGGGGTGGACCCCATTTTCTTCCGTGTCTTAAGGGGCCCTGTGTGTGTGCTTCTAGGAGCCTGTGGGATCTGTCATTTCCTACACACAGGTGTCTGCGGGTGACTATTCACGAAGTGATGGCCCAGGACTGTCAAGAATGTGCCGTGTGTGTGTGTGTGTGTGTGTGTGTGTGTGTGTATCTGTGTGCTCCCTGCCTGGGAGTCTCGGTGTGTCACTGATTTATATGGTTGTCCCAGGCATGCATCTGCTTCTGAAAGTCTATGTGGGGTTGTCTGAGACACTGAGGGGTGTGTGCGTGTGGTGCCTGGCCTCCCTGGCACTACATTTAGCTGCTGTGTTTACAGCCGGTGCTGTGAGTGTGTGTCTGGCCACGTGTGTATATACAGAGCTGTGTGGGTGTTGTTGTCTGGGGTGGAGGAGGGTCAGGGGCCCTCCAGCAGGGTGCCTGGCTTGTCATTGGTTGTACTGGGGCAGGGTGGGGTTAGAATACAACTGGGGCCTCCCCTCTGGGTCTTACTTGGGGAGCTAGACTCCTTGCCTCTGTCAGTGGAGAGGAGAGAGGGAGGGGTGTCTAGGAACAGATTGCTGCGATGTCCCTGGGAGGCTCTGGTTGGCTCTGGGCCCTGTGTTTAGAGCTTGTTTCATTTACCTCTGTATCCCCGCCTCCTAGCCTCTGCCTGTCTTTGTATCTCTGCCGGGGGCTCTTCTCTGCTCTGGCTGGCTCGGATGACTCATCTTGGATAGGCATGAAGGTTACTCAGGGGAACAAGGGCCCCGCTGTTTCCCAGAGGAGTGTGGGGGTGGAGAGTGGCACCCAGGAATTCCGAGCCAGCCGCCTGGGACTCCAGCAGCCTGATCTCCTGCATCAGGGGACCCCCTACCTCTCAAGGGACCAGGCAGGATGCCTTCTGGTTCTTGCTCTCCTTTGATATCAGGTGCCCCCTCATTCTCTTCAGCTGCTGCCTGAGAGCTGTGGGTTCTCAGCTGCCTCATACATTCCTGCCGTAGAGCACTGTGGGAGCAGCTGGAGAAGGACAAAGGGATAGGGGGGATAATCCCCCCACACTCCTACCTCCTGGGGTGACCTGGCTTCCCCTTGTCTTTAGACCCACCCTCATCTCCAAGGCAACTCAGCCTGTTCCCCAGCCTTGGGCTCCCCGTTCAGAGCAGACACCTGGAGAAGGTGGGATCTAGGGGTCCAGATGTCTGGGTCTCCGGGAGGGTAAGGAAGCACAGGGAGAGCTGGGGTTACCTCTGATGACAGACAGTGGTGGGATAGGGTGCAGGGGGTGCCATTAGGGGTCCTGGGAGAAGGAACACAGTGCCAGTCTCTGGGACAGGGAGGGGACAGGCTAGCTCTTCCTGGGACTGGGCAGGACAATACTTGAGCTTGTAAAGAAGCAGCGACAGTTGGATTGGTTTTAGGTGGAGCAAGCTGCCTGGGCCCTGGGGAGGAGGACCTGAGTGGGGACCCTTGAACTTGAATGGGCACACATCATGGAATGCACTTCTGATCCCGTAGGAATAGGTGGGCCTGAGCTTCTGCGTTTCTCACAAGCGCCCTGAGCTGAGGCTGCCGACCAAGGGACCAGAGTGGGCTTAGCGGGGTCTGAGGGCAGTGAGACTGGAAGGCACTGGGTCCCACACTTCTCTTCGAACCCAGAGCTCCTGGGGTGGGGAGGGGACAGGTTCAGCTGGTCCAGGCTTGTCTTCATTGTCACATCCATGAACACATCTCAAAGACTTCAGATGCTTTACAGATCACAAAACTTTCTATAAAGACATACATGTCACCATTTACGATAGAGCTTTAGAAAAGCAGTCCCTGATTCCCCTCTTTCCCACATTCACACTAATTTATAGTAATCGATTAGGAGTCCGCTCTCTCTGGATAAGTATGCAAGAACGGACACAGGCAGAGGGGTGCAGGGTGACTTGCTTCCTAAAGGTGGAGCCATGTGGTTCTGATTTCTTTCATTTGCTTTCTGTACTCGATCATCACACCAGAAAATCCCACTGCAATTTCTTTCTTTTTTTTTTTTGTAGATCGGTGTCAGATATGTGGGCTAATGTTGGACTTAGGGACTGGACTGGGTTGGGATGGTTTCTTTCTTTCTTTTTTTTTTTAATCAATTTATTGGGGCTCATAAAATTCATCACAATACATAGATCAATTGTGTAGAGCACATCTATACATTTGTTGCCCTCATCATTCCCA